TCAGTTTCCATATATATTATTATTTTTTCATATATATTATTATTTACCCTAATCGTTTTCATATAATAAGGAAAATTACCCTACTTGATTAGTATTTCAAACAAACATATTATTCAGTTTCCATATATATTATTATTTTTCCAATAGTCAATTAACTAAACTCATAGTCGAATTAGATACATGAGATAGTCTATTAAAAGATATGAGACAGTCTATTAATTTTGAAACACAAATCCGCCGCCGTCACTTCTCAAATCTAGGGTTTTGATGATTCTTCGGCCCATAGTCGATTAACAAGATCCATAGTAAAATTATACCAGTGGGATAGTCTATTAAATGATATGGGATAGTATATTAATACAGATGTAATTCGACTATGCATCTCGTTAATCAACTATGGGCCGAAGAATTATCAAAACCCTAGATTTGAGTAATCCTAGATTTGAGTAACCCTAGATTGGAGCAGTGACGGCGACGGCGACGGCGGCGGCCAACGACGATATCACTTCTGGTTGATGTCCTGCCCATCAATTGTTGCAATATCACTGATTTAGTGCTCGAATGCGGTATGCGATTATAACAGATCTGCAATTACACAAATGTGATAGTCGATTTAGCCAAAACATATCAACAAATCGATGGGTGATAGCGATTCAGCGAGTGGCGACGACGTACCTACGACAGCTTGCTCGGAGTGCACGAAAATCGTCGTTTCACGGCAGTGCAGACGTCTTCCCCTTTCAATCGGCCGTACCGGGAAGTTGTTCTGGGAGGTTTTGCAGTTTACTCGATAGTGGGGTTGGGATGATAGTGATTTAACAGGAAAATAGGAAGGGATTTGATTTTATTTTAAAAGGTAAAGTAACGGGTTTTGTGGGATTTGATTGAGGGTGATTATGTAATTAGGAAAAGTTTGGGCTGTTATCAAAATGGCAAATATAAATTTGGGTCCACCCCCTATTATTTGAATGTTTAAAGGGGTTATATCTAATAGACCCTTTAAATTAATCATAAATCATTTGTTACCTAGTATACTCAATATACCCTTTTTACTTCACTAACTCTACTTCTTGATTACATCGTTATTCACTTATCCACTTTATCCCTTCTTTCTCTCTCTCTCGCCGCTCACAACGACAGTCTCGTGCCCCGCCGCTTTTTTCTTCCACAAGCGTTCTTCCTTCGTCGACGTTGCGGCAAACTCTTTTCTCCTCTCTTCTCCATCAATCCACTTCAAAGCCACAACGTTTTATCGATTCAATGTTCCTCGATTATGATGGTGTGGTCCAGATCTCCTGCAGATGAGGTGGTACTACGCGATTGACGGTGTTTTTTTTGTTGTTTTTCGCGCGGCGGCGGTAGTATTTTTCTAGGGGTTGGTTTAGTCGCGATCTAGGGTTTGGTGGCATTGTGTTTTGGTGGCGACGCTAGATTTCACCCGACGAGGATAAGTTTTAGTATTGGTTACGGCCCTTCTCGCGCGGTGCCAGCACAAATGAGAGGTATTGAATGAGATTCATAATTTGTAGTTGTTTTGACTGTACAAAAACAACGACAAATTAACTTTTTAGAGTTTTTGTAGTCGTTTTGTTAAATTATATAGTTGTTTTGACTGTACGAAAACAACTACAAATTAACGTTTTTGAGTTTTTGTAGTCGTTTTGTTAAATATTATAGTCGTTTTCACAGCTGTTTTTGTGTCGCAGCGTGAGGGAATTGTTTTTAAAAGTGGGTCCCATAAAGGGAGAGAATAGTGCTAAGTTTTGTCCACATGTCAGCTGTTGAGTGGAATCCGTTATTTCCATAGAAACGGAGCGTCCGTTTATAATGTTTTTCCATATGTTTATAGGGGTTGTCTAGGGTCCGAGAGGGGTTGTACTACTCGGACCCAAACGACTGAAAATCAACCAATAAAAATGTGACACGTATGATTTGTACGAACCCCATAAAAAAAGTATGATACCTACCTTATAAGTGAAATTACATAAAAACCCCTATAACTAAAACTTAAGTGACGATTAATAATAATTAATAATTAGAGCTATGACAAGGGACTTAAATGAACATTGGTCCACATAAACAACAATCTTCCAAATACACCCATCACCATGTCTTTACTCTAAAATACCCTCCATAATATATTTTTTATCAATTTCATCCATTATACTCTAACTTCCTTAATATTACACATTGACCCCGAATTTAAACAAATATATCACATTAACCTCCATTTTAATAATTTTTTGAAAAAATATTTTTTTTTTAGAAAATAAATTTTTTTCTGAATTTTTTTTTCCGGCCAGATTCCGGCGTTGACCAGGCGGACGGTGACCGGCGTTGACTTTTTTTTTATTTCGTTTTTGAAAAAAAAATCTTAGAAAAAACTATATTAGTTAATATTACTATCTTGCCTACTAAATTGCTGTCTCATACAGTAATATTACTGTTTCAGACAATAATATTAGTGTTTCGGACAGTAATATTATGAATATTATTTTTCCGAACCGTAATATTACTAATATTACTGTCCCAAACAGTGATATTATTGCTTGAGACAGTAATAGTACGGTCGAAAACAATAATATTACAATCGAAGACAACAATAATGCAGGCCAAGACGATAAAATTAATTAATACAATAATATTATTGTCTCAGACGGTTAAATTACTGTTGGAGACAGTAATTTTGAGCCAAGATAGTAATATTAATTAAAATATTTTTTTTTAAGAAAAAAAAATTCAAAAAAGAAAGTCAATTAACAGTTCAATTATTGTATCCGACAGTTAAATTACTCTTGAAGACAGTAATTTAGTAGCCAAGACAGTAATATTAATTAAAATATTTTTTTCAAGAAAAAAAAAAAAGTCAATTAACAGTTAAATTACTGTCTCTGACAGTTAAATAACTGTGGAGACAGTAATTTAGTAGTCGAGATAGTAATATTAATTAATATTTTTTTTTAAGAAAAAAAAGGTTAATTAACATTAAATTACTCTCTCCGACAGTTAAATAACTGCTGGAGACAGTAATTTAACAGCCAATACATTATTATTAGTTAAAATAGTTTTTTTTAGAAAAAATAAAATTTAAAAATAAAAAAATCAAAGCCGGAGACCTTGTGATTGAGCTACCGGAAAAAAAATTTCAGACAAAAAATAAGTATTGAAAAAAAAAAAAGAGTCAACGCTGGAGACCGTGGGTCTCTAGCTGTCTCCGGTGGGGGCGAGTCAAAATTGGGGTTAAAATTGAAATTATGGTCAAAAATTGGTTAATTGGTGAAATTGGGCGAAATTAGTTAGTCGAGGTATGATCGTGAATTTTTTTTTTTTTTTGGGGGGCAAAGAGCAAAAATGACCAAAGTTAGGGGCAAAGTACAGTTAACCCTACTTTTAATTCTCTGGTTTAATAATGTAAGGTTAATAAAGTAATTTTACATGAAGTACGATGGGGTACGACCTTTGTACGATCTATTTTTACTGGGTTCATACTTTAATTTATAAATTCATAGGTTCGTACTGAATCGTACTAGTTCGTACTTTAAATCAACGACTATAATTTTTTACTAAATATTTTCTACGCACCAGATTAAATCGTTTAGGTCCGAGTAGTACAACCCCTATCGGACCCTTGACAACCCATGTTTATATTGTTTATTGTTGATTGAACATGTACATTGAACAAAATGACATGCTATTTGAGAGGAAGTACGTATGGATTCAAGAAAAGATGATGAGTGCTGATTATTTTTTTTTTTTTTCAGATTTCCGTTGTCTTTCGAGAATTCTATGATGTTATAAAATTTCTATAATGTATAGTTATTTTTTAATATATATATATATATATATATATATATATATATATATATATATATATATATATATATGCCATTTTTTTAATCGAATTTGCTTTATTAGTTAATTTGATAGCCTAGCAGTTACAATCAACCTCAAGGATGAAGGGTATATATATTCACGAAAAAGATAATTTGAATTAGTTTTAGGCTTTTAGCTCACTCAATTCCGTTAACTATTCGTTTGTCCGGTTTTCTAAAGTCGTAAACATAAAAATTCATTTTCTGAATTATTTCATTTAATATTTCATATGATATATAGTTTCATACTTTCATTTATTTTTTTTGAAGAACATACTTTCATTTATTATATGTTTGTTTTTTGCTGTCTGCTACTTTATTTAAAAGACGGGTTTGTCCCGAAACAATAAAGTCATTTTGGTGGAATGTTAGTACACCTAGGGGTACTTTTGTCTCTGCACTTTGAAAATTAATATTCTGATTTATCGCAAAAAAACTCAGGCAATATTAAGGGGAGGCTGGGAGCAGTTGATTTAATATGTACAATTCCATCATCATCAGAAGTGAAAAAATTAATTTTGTACATAAATTAAATTAATACGATCTCTATTAATTTTGTTTCTATTATTTTTGTTACTACCACTTATGTATTTGTATTAAAAAAAAAATTAATATTAGATCGTGCAATGCACGGGGTAAAGTACCATTTTAAATAAATATAGTAATTTTGTTTATATTATTATTGTTACTATCACTTATGTATTTGTACTTAAAAAAAAATTAATATTCGACCGTGCAACGCACGGGGTAAAGTACTAGTCTACTTAAAGCTTAAGCTGTTAGTGAAGTGTATTATTTAATATTAATTTCTCCAATATCGATCACCATTCGCTGATGCTGGTCGATTTATTCTAAATAGTTGTTTTGATAGTTTATAAAATTAAACTTCAACGGGCGTATTTGTAATATTGTTGAACTAATAGCGGTATATATGTAATTAAAAATTTAAACCTGACAATAACGTATTTGACTCAATATTACATTAAGGATAAAAATAGAATTTGAAAAAAAAAAACGTAAAATTCTGAATATACTTGCATCTAAATTCTAATCTCACGGAGGTACGCGACTCAAAAAAGGAAAATAAAGGAAACAATGCATATGTTCAAATTTTACGAAGAAGACGCATGAGTCACAACTGCAAAAACCACAACGTATCCACACTGAGCATTTTAATTTTATCGTACATCACCACCGCTCAACCTTAAGTCGGATTATTTCAATTTACAACGAAAATAATTAATTTTATGTTTGTATTAACGAGACAATTAAATCAAACAACATAAACACACGAATGCAATACCGGTTTCTTCAAATTCACAGCAATGTATAATAATATAATAGACGAAGCTAAGGCTTGGCCCTCGACGGTGTCCCCTTCACGACAGTGACCGGACAAGTTGCGTGTTGTACGACGTAGTTGCTCACGCTTCCAAGTAACACCCTTGATTAATATATATATGCACTTATATTAGTCATATAATCAGAATACTAAATCAATCAATTGTTTATGTAATAAAATAACATAAAAAAGTTTGTTGTAAAATAAAATTCAATAACTTTATTTTGAGAAAGTCAAGTTGGCCCCAACCCGTTTTTTTAAAGTTCGTTTACTCGATCTATTCAACTTCTTTTTAATTCACTTTATATTCTTAGGAGTTTTTAAAAACATAATATACTTGGTCTTTGCTAATTAATATTTTAGATGGACATTTTTAGGAATATGATATTTTATAGGGTACTGATTGCAATTACCTAAAAATAAAATCGAGTCATAATTCATATTCTATCCCAAAAACACTAACCAAATTGTGTACAAATAGGATTGAGCACTAACTTTTATTATTCTAGGTTTAGATATTTTTTTTCTCTTTCGTAAATACATTCACCACTGTAAGCATTATAAGCAAATGCAAACTAAATATTTATGACAAGATTACCCACTATTCTTTAAACTCAATTAATTAGACTCTAATTGTAAACACTAATTTAATTCCAATTTCACCAATTTTGTCTTTTTTTTTTTTTTTTTTTTTAGTTTTTATTGATTACTTTTTCATAATATATACTGACCAGCAATCAAAACAATAATTTGTTACTTTCAACACAATAGTATTATATCCAGCCTACTATTTCTAGTACAATAATGTCATTGTAGTTGACAGTAGCATTGATGTACTATTAATATTTACTAGTCAGAGAATCATCATACTAAATCGATTTATTAATAATAACTAGTCAGAGAATCATCATACTAAATCAATCAATTATATATAATTAGAAAAAAAAAAAAAAATAAACAAAAGAAGAAGACATTTGTATTTCACCATGTATAAAATTATAATTAATAAAAAAGAGAATTTACCTTTTGATGGCACCTAAACCCCTGCTTCCTAAAACAAGTGAATCAAGCTTGAGCTGCTCCACAGCACCACACAACTTTTCCCTTGGATCCCCCCAATACACCTTAGCCACCACCTTCACCTGCACATATATACATATATATAATTTCCAACACAAACACACACACACAAAAGTGTGTTTATTGCACACACACATACGTATATCATATAAAAAAGGGCAAATTACGGACACCGATGAGTTAAGGTATAATTACGAAAAAACCCCTCTTGTTTGTACAATTAGAACCACTCATCAACTATGAATTATCTTACATGTTCACTCTTACAATGCCAAATTTACCTAGGGGTGTTCACCTGGTCGGTAAACCGATCGAATCGAAACGAACGAACAAAAATTCGTACATGCCGATTACCGAACCATTAATTCGGTGCGGTAATATTCGGTTTTATTTTATTTTATATATGTATGTATGTAAAATTTAAACTAGAATTAATTTTCAAAAAAAAAAAAATTAAACTTTTTTTGAAATATCTTTAATAAAATTTTGGTAATTCGGTTATTTATCGAACCAAACAGTAAACGGTATGAAATTTTGACGTACCGCAATTTCTGTACAATTTCATCAAATGAACGCCCCTAAATTTATAAATTGGAGAGATTTTTTGCGTAAAATAATACATAATTGAGAGGTATTTGTAATTATGCAATTTTTTCGTAATTTAACCTTATCTCAGGGTGATCAGTAATTTGACCTATAAAAAATACAATATTTACACACACACACATAAACAAACATACTCGTTTAGTTTTGGAGAGTGTGGTAAGCATATCAAGAACATTAGAATCAGGGGTGAGTCCATATTGCTTTGATACATTCATTTCTCTGAATTCTTCCAAAGGTATCAACGCTGATATATCACCAAAAAAATATTAAAAACAATTAGTAGAAATTAGAATAAAATAATTAATAATTATAGTAATAATAATAATAAAATAATCATACGGGAGCCGGTGTCTGCAAAAAGCTGCTTATTTGTGGGATCAGCTTTTGGAGAAGCTACATGAATCATGATAATCTGATCACCATCTTCAACAAAATCATGGATTGCCCACTTTAAAGCTGATTTGCTTGTGGCTGAGTAATCCATTCCTACACCAACCAAACGCGCCTTTGCCATTTTTATTTTTATTTTCCTCTGAATAATTATTTTTATCGATGATTTTTAGAAATAATAAATTTGAGAGATATATATATATATAATTTCAGAGGTGTCTCGAAGAAACTCGAAGAGAGTTGTGGTTTAAATAGTTTGGCTTTTCAGCCTCACTTTGATTTATTCTATGATGATGACAAAGTGGCAAAACAGCTTTGGTTAAATTCTAATGGAATTTTGGCACACAGGTTTTGTTTTGTGTGACAATTATTCCGGTTTAATTTTATTTATTCTTTTAAAAAGAATACTCTTTAAGAAAAAAAAAATAATTTACTTTTTAATAAAATTATAAATTGACTTTAGTTGATAAGCACCACTAATTATAGTTTACGAAATTGAAATTACTAGGATAGGTTTATGGCTCGTTTGTTTACCACTTCCACTGATTAAATATTAGGGGGCTAGGGGCTAGTATATATAACACGTCCAATGACAAAATACTGGGAAGGTTGGGAATGCATTTGGTGGTCAGCGACTAAATATCCGGGTAGATCGAGACCGGTTGATGGAGAAGCTCACGCGACCCTACGTGAATGGGATTGGCTACAAGTAATTACGGCTCTCAAAGGAGGAGAACTTATGGAATCATCGTTTGGAGCCTACATCGAAGATTGTTGTTGAATTGCTAAGACTTTTGTTTCATGTAAATTTAGTTTTGTTAAGCGTTCCGGAAACCTTCTAGCTCACCATGTAGCTTCTATGTCTGTTTCTTCTTGTAACGAGGGAGATATCCTCAAGGCCTTTTTGCTATTTGATTAATGAAATTGGTTTTTGATAAGTGTATATTTTTGCATTTTATCGTATCTTTTTATTTGAGCTTTTGGTGTGATTTAACGATAATTGGTGCTTAAAAAGTTGATTGATTGTATTTTAGGTATAAATTGAAGAATTGGAAAAGTTTGGGGTCAAAACTGCAAATTTGGAGAAAATATGGGCCAAAAGTGAAATAATCAAAATATGCTGAAAATTGGCTGAAAACAGGCCCGCACGGCCGTGCCAAAATTAACCTATTTTTGGCACGGCCGTGCCAATTGCAGAAATTGGGCAGAACGTTTCGGTGGTTCTCGCGCGGCCGTGCGAGAATTGCACTGATTTTCGCGCGGCCGCGCCAACACACGCTGGACACAATTTTGGACTTTTAATCACACAAGGAAACCTAAAATCATCTACCAAGTTGGGACATCTATTTAAGCACAAACCAAGCACGAATTAAAGAGACTTTTGGACACAACCTTGGAGCGAGAGGAGCGAGAGAACGAAGAATCGAAGACGGAGAATTGACAACTCTTCATATCAATTCTTCTTTTATCTATCTTTTCTTAATCTATTCTTTTTATGTTTTTATTATGTTTTTCGTAGAGAACATGCGTAGCTAAGTTTTTAATCTAGGATTTTGTTGGAACCCGATGTAGGGATTGCGAACCCTTTTTCTTGAGATTATGCAATTATGATTTTATGATTATTTCTTTTACTTGTTATGATTGTTAGTGCATGAACTTGATCAATTTATGTGCTTTATCTGTGATTATTGGGATTGACTCGACAGAGCTATTTTGATAATTAGACGGTAAGTAGAAGAGCCTTCGAGTAGTTTTCACCGGATGAGTGTGTCAATTGCATGTGGTGTCGTAGACATACAGATATCACCTTAGGTAGCCATTTACAAGACTTGTTAGTTAATGCTTTATTTATAATTGGTTTGCATAGACATATAGTGAATCGTTTATGAATAATAGACTCATAATACACGCGACAGCGGGTTATGAGTAAATTAGTGTCTCGGGTTAATAATCATGAATCATATATTTCATAATTGAGGGGTTTTGGGTGAACAATTCTTACATAGGGGGAAGATAAAATCCTAGGTTCGTTTTTACTGATATTTTCTCGTGTTTAATTGCTTTCATAATTAGTTTAATTAATTAGTTGACTAAGTTTGACAACCTTGCGTAGGCTGAATAAAAATCATAATTGTTAGAATTTTGTACTTAGGATTAGGTAATTTGCGTATTCCCTGTGGGATCGACATCCGACTCTCACGAGTCCACTTTTACTACTTGTTTGCGATACGTGCACTTGCGTGTTAGGTATTTAGCACCCAACAGTTTTTTACCTAAAAAAAAACACGTTCAGCTGACAAATTTCACTACTAAAATTAAAGTAGTGTTAAATGCTACTACTTCATTAAATTAGTAACACGCTTCCCTGAGATTAATTTAATAGGAGTGACTAAATAAATAAAAGATTAGTTTAGAACGATAAATATATCCTTAATTCATTAATGGAGCACTAATATTTAACTTTTGGAACAGCCTAGTCATCATTTGCTAATGAGTTGTTTGTAAAATGGATTTATTTAGTTTATTTCATTGAAGATCTATTGGGTTTTGAAAGGTTGATATACATAGTCACCTGTATTAATTGTAATATATATATATATATATATATATATATATATATATATATATATATATATATATATATATATATATGTGTGTGTGTGTGTGTGTGTGAGAGAGAGAGAAAAGTACTAACATATTGTAATATGTAAGTTATGTGTTTTAGTAATACTTACTATTTAGTGATGTTGATGATTGTGTGCTTCCAATATTTATTTGGTACAAGTTGATTTATAATATCAAAATTTAAATTGTGAATTTTATTAATAATGTGGATCAATATTTTTTATCATATAATCATCGATTTTTGTGTCTGTACATAATTAAATTTGAGGTTAAAAGAACAAATATAGTAGTATTAGACTATTAGTTTCACTTACCTCCCCTATATTAAATAGAAACATTCATTTATCTCCCCTCTACTATAAAATTCTTAAATTACACCCGTTGATTATATATTATATCAACTATACTTTTTTTTGGGGCAATTTGATATAAGTCCTCCTCTAAGAGATTATGGCCTCGTTTGCTTACCTATATCGGATTACATTAGATTAGGTGAGATTGGATTAATACCTCACTGACTAATTAATTATTTAGTCAATAAGATGTTTGATTCGTTAGATTAAATCTTGTATTAAATTTGTTAAATTCTGGTATTTAATGTGAATTGTCTAAAAAGTATTTTAATTAAAATAAATTAAGATATGGTTTTAAGGATAAGATTGTATTTTCTTCTTTTAATCACCCCTACAAAATTAATCGCAGGGGGAAGGGTGCTACTAATTTAACCAAATAATAGCACTTAATTGCGGGCTTTGAGTGTAGTAGCGGGCTTGACTAAATACGAATCTCATCAACCAAACATCTTACTAACCCCTACTATTTAGTTAATAGAGGTTAATAGCACTAAGCAAACGAGGCCTATATGTGTTAAAATCCATCTAATAAATTTAATTTCCAGCAGATTTTATTATTTGTAATTTGTCAAAAGTACCCCTATTAATATATGGTGTAAACGCATAAAATTGATTAATTGGTTAATTAAATTAGCCAATTAAATTGTGTCTAAATTAAATTATAATTTATCTTGCAAAATAAGTTATGGAGATAATTATCAATTAATTACTGGCCAATAGGATTATTTCTTCTCTTCCAAGTTATAAGAGATAAATATCAATTTAAAGAGTGGCCAATCAAATCGCGCCACGTCATCAAGAAGACTTTAAGTAGGACTCTTATTCTACCACTATAAATAGGGACCCTCCCTACACAATTAAAGGCAAAACTCAAGAAGAAGAAAAATCGTAGGAGAAAATTCTCTCTACAATATCCAAGTCGTTCTTCATCAAATTCAAGTCGTTTTTCATCAAATCGAGGGAGTTCTTCAACAAATCAAGATCGAAGCAAGATTGAAGGGCCAAATCCATCAAGAACTCCAAGATCTTCAAGTCAAAATCCGTCAAAGTTCAGCGTTCGATCCGAGATTCAAGTCGCAAGACCCTCGGAAGACGTTATTCAAATCCAAATCAAATTCGGAGAAGATCAAGTCAACGACCCGACTCCGAAATTCAAAGTCAAACAAATTTTGTTCTTGAGAGAAGAATCAGAGGATTAAATTAGAGTTTGTAACCCGCAATATTTTATTTTAATTCAATAAATTATCTTTGTGCAAGTTTTTCTTGTTTGTTAAATTCGCAGATGAGGATTTGTTGCTACAAATTTTGGCACGCCCGGTGGGATATCTCTACCTCTCATCTCTTCTCTCTCTCGAAGATCCTCGAAGTGTTGCAGTGACTGCTCTACGTTTGCAATGAAGGCTGCTACTTCGGATTCATCAAGTGTGGGCTTAGTTACAAGGAGCATGGCTAAGAAGCTGCAAGCATCCTCAGAGACTAGCTCGACGCCCCAAACCATTCAGAAAGGCTTACCACCTCTTGTTAATACAAGCGCAGACATGGAAGGTTCAAAACGAGAGATTTCACAGCCCACGCCTCGTTCAACATCAATCTACTCAGAGGTGGCATCCGTCATGACAACAAACGCTACAACCATGGAAGAGCAAATTGCAAGTTTAACAAAGGCCATTGAGGGACTCGCAAAGCATGTTCAACAACGAGATTCTCAAATTGCCAAGTTGATCAACAAGATGGAAAAAGCCGATGCTAGTCAAGCTGTGGAGAATCAGATAGAGGCTCAAGAGGAAGTCGAGACATCCACAAAGCAACAGCCAGTTGAAAACGAGAAGGCTCCAGCTCAAAAACTTCAAGTTTCTCCCGAAGGGCTGATTCATGTAGATCAAGTGATGACGCTGATCAGTAGAACAATCGAAGACAAGTTGAAAGGAAGCTCGAAGTCGCCATCAACCTATGTCAAGCCATACACGCAAAGGATCGATCATCTAAAGATGCCAATGGGTTATATACCTCCAAAGTTTCAACAATTTGACGGCAAAGGCAACCCCAAGCAACATGTGGCACACTTCGTGGAGACTTGCAATGATGCCGGCACGTATGGAGATCACCTCGTCAAGGAATTCGTCTGATCGCTCAAAGACAATGCGATTGATTGGTACATTGATTTGGGAGCAAACTCCATCGATAGTTGGAAGCACTTAGAGGAAGAATTTCTCAACCGCTTTTACAGCACTCGAAGAACAGTCAGCATGATTGAGCTTACCAATTCCCGCCAGTGGATGAATGAACCTATCATTGACTACATCAACCGTTGGAGAAATTTAAGTCTTAATTGCAAGGATCGACTATCTGAGACATCAGCTATTGAACTGTGCATCCAAGGAATGCAATGGGGACTCCGATATATCATTCAAGTAATTCAACCTAAAAGTTTTGAAGAGTTGGCCACTCGAGCACATGATATGGAGTTGAGCATACTTGCAAATCAAATTGAAGAACCACCATTCCAAAAGCCGTACCAGCTCAATAAAGAACATGTTG